TGCGGGCCGTTGTTGTTGGGGTTGTTGTTGTTGTTGTTGTTGTTGTTGTTGTTGTTGTTGTTGTTGTTGTTGTTGTTGTTGTGGTTGTGGTTGTGGTTGTGGTTGTGGTTGTGGTTGTGGTTGTGGTTGTGGTTGTGGTTGTGGGTGTGGTTGTGGTTGTGGTTGTGGTTGTGGGTGTATGTTTGTGTGTTTGTGTGTTTGTTTGATTGTTTGTTGGTTGGTTGGTTGGTTGGTTTGTTTGTTTGTTTGTTTGTTTGTTTGTTTGTGTTTCTTTTGCTTGGTTGTTTGTTTGTTTGTTTGTTTGCTTGCTTGTTTGTTTGTTTGGTTGGTTGGTTGTTAGTTTGTTTGTTTGTTGGGTTGGTTGTTTGTTTGTTGGGTTGGTTGTTTGTTTGTTGGGTTGGTTGGTTGTTTGTTTGGTTGGTTGTTTGGTTGGTTGGTTGGTTGGTTGGTTGTTTGTTGTTAGTTTCTTAGTTAGTTAGTTTGTTTGTTTGTGTTTCTTTTGCTTGGTTGTTTCTTTGTTTGTTTGGCCCTGATAAAACATCCACTGGCCTTCTTCCTTGTTGCACCGTCCAGGCCTCTCATTGGCGTCCGCTGGTTCCCTGCTTGCAGGACTTGAGCGTAGGGGCGCTCGGAGCGCATGACGGCGAGTGACTTTATCGCAGGGTAAAAGACGCTGCGTTGGCGAATTCACATTCAGAGTGCTGGACGTTCTTCGTGACCCATGTGCTCTACATTGCTGGCCCCACTTGGGACTCCTTCGCAAGGGTCCACATAACAAAGACTAACAACACAGAGTGACAAGGCTTTCCTGGGCGAATAAACGCCAGCATGTCTACTTGAGCATCGCGTTTTAGGAATAGACTTGATTCCCACAGAGCGCATTAGCGCGCCGAACATGGGATCCATGGGATCATGAGCCATAGACAATTCGTAATACAACCTACGATCAAGCTGATATTGCACCTGCAGGTCCTTGAAAGGATGTTTGTAGATTATGAGCCTTCTTTACGCCTGATGCTTTAGGCGAAGCCAGCAAAAAACCAGCCATCATGTTTGTGCTTGCTCGTGATCTTGTCGAACATGCTTACTCTTGTATTTGGCCTGAGGAACATTCCAGTTGCATGTCAATGTGAAGATCCTTTTGCCAGTGTCCTGTTGAAAGGCAACGCAGGAATATTGACTCATGACCCCCTGGACACATTGTGATGAAACACCCCCTTTTCATCCACCACATGAAATTGATCCGGGGTTGGCCACAGCCCCCAGAAACCCCAAAGACGAAACATGACTGTTAATCCATATGAAGTACCGTCAAAATTACTTCTGTCTGTTGAGTTTAGTATTCGGTGTTTCATTGATATTGTGAAAATGCACAAAACCGTGGCAAACGATAGGGGACTCTCGAAAAACGATACCCCTGGAAGAGGATGGAAAAGCTGGAAAACGATAGGGGACTCTCAAACTAAGTAGCGAAACGGCCGCAAGTAAGTAATTTCGACCGTGCCTCATATGTAGAGCTTATTTACTTCTAATGTACTCTATTCTTCGGCTTTTCATTCAGGGGTGTGTTTGAGGGTCTGGTGGTACAACCTTTGACCTTCGGCACGGGTCAACGGCAAGAGTGTTGGCGTGTGCGGCGAATGCAGGTGGACCACCTTCTTGAGACGGGTTCGCTGGTCATTGAGGGCACCATCAACAAGCTGCTGGGCGCAACAAGCATCGCTCTCCTGTTTAGTTAATAATAATGTCTCCAATGCAGGCACTCGATAGACCAGATAGCAACATCTCACACACAGCTCCAATGTCAAATTGTGTTTTCGTTTCTGTTCAGTCAGCCAGACGCTTCTCCGAAGTTGTCGTATGCTGTCCATTGAAGCTGGGGTGGAGAGATTCGCGCAAGGCTCGTGGATGAGCGGCTCGTCCGCACTGGTTGCCGTGGGGAGTGTGGAGAGCCAAGCCTGGGGGATGCAAGACAAGCCTCAGCAAAATGAGATCTACTCGGTTTGCGGAAGGAGCATTGTTCTCAGTCACTTGCATGGTTTCTGCAGATACATTACATGACTGGTGGAATAAAGCCAGGCGATCTGCAATTGAAGCAAACGATGTACGAAGATATTGAAAGCATCAATTGTCAATTTGGTGGATACATCTGCAGGTGCCCCTATGAAGGCTTTCTTCTGAATGGCGTGGCCACCGTCACTTGCATGGCTGGTGGCTCAGACATCCGCAGCTTGAGCGTTGGCGCACTTGCATACTCAATATAGGATGACAATGGAGAGTTCACATTTCAGTGTTTTTAGGGTGGTCTCGTTGGTTTGCGCTCAGGCTCGATTGAAGCCAGTATTGCTGGCACGGACTCCACCAAACGTGACGTCCCCAGTTGCATGCTGCTTCAACCACAAACTATGGGCTTACGGAGCAGCTTCTGCGATGGTGGCATGCAATGGCTTGTGCATTTGCAGGCTTCTATGTACTTATTTGATTCATTGGCATCAAAGTTGCCAGCATTGTGTTGCAAGCCGCGACTGGCAGGCAGAGTTCGGAGGCGCATCCGCAGCGCTGCGGCAGTACGCAAACGGGGCAGCAGGCACAGCCGGCGCGGCTGGCGGTTCTGGCACAGCTGGTGGCGGTTCTGGCACGGCTGGCGCGGCTAGCGTCTGGGGCTCCTCGGGTGTTCTGGGCGCCGGGGGTGCCCTGGGTGCTGCCAGTGCCATGGGTGCGGGTGTCGGCGCAGATGCGGCAGGCCAGGGAGCCATGCGACTCGGATGCACTGGCTGTGCTCTTTGCGGCTGTTTGCTGAAAATGAAGCCCTTGCTAGGAGTGTCCTAATGTGAAGAATAATTGAAGACAGACGCAAATGCATCCAGAGCGCAACCGCCGGCCCACTGCTCTGTTTGCCTTCTTGAGTGCTTTGAGCCAAACGTCGTTCAGCACTTGCCCAAGCGCAACAGCCAAGGAATGCCAGCCAGATAGCCACCGCTTTGCGCGACAGGCGAGGCGTGAACCCAGCTAGGCACTCTGAATTTACCGCTGGTGGTATCAAAAGGCCAAGGTGATGATGCTGCAGCGGAACATGTTGCTGACTTGTCTCCAAATTTCCGCATCTTGGCACCATCACTGTTATGGTTGTTGCTGGGTCATGATCCCTTGCACTTTCAGCTTGGCCACACGCTGAATCGGTTTGTTTCCAAATGGACGCCTTCAGCCAGCCGCTGAGAACCAATATATTCAGATGAGTTGGTGTGTATTGGGATCGGACTTGCCACAATTCAATCAAATCGCACAAACAAGATTACCCGCAGCGCTATGGTGGCAAGGAAGCATCTACATTATGATGCATGACATGTTTGTTCAAGTTGCATGGGCAGACTGTCCTCAAGAAGTACACCAGGCAAAGCCGCGTTCCCAATTCATGATAACATGTCATGACATTTGCAAGCACAGAGTTCCCCTTCACTTTGATAAATGTGCTTGCATCGAGCCCTAGTGACTCTTTCGTGGATAGCCGACTTCAAAGTCGTGAAATACAACTGCAAGAGCAAGTGTTGTTTGCTTTTACTTCCAAAGCTTGGTGGTGATGCTCCGGACAAGTATCCAGACCATAAAATGCTGTCAGCTGAGCCACACAGTTCTCAGAAAGCCTCCTTGGCATTGAATCCGGCCTGCTTGAGTTGTTAAAAGCAAAGTGGTTGGCAGCTCATAGCGGATTGGCAGCTCATAGCTGGTTGGCAGCTCATAGCTGGGTCACTCAGCACCGGAAACGATTTGCAGAACTTGGTGCATTTTTATCTAGCTGGGGGCAGGAACGCACGACGCACAATTCGATTTCAGCTGGATCGTAGGTCGCAAGTTGCAGACAGGCGCGCCCTCCAGCAAGAAATAACATGGAAGCTGACCCACACAACTTCATTTCGGTCACATCAGCAAGACAGCAAGCCGTGCCTAGCTTCTACCAACATTTGACTTAGATCTCGATTTGGCATATCACCAAATGGGAAGTCACCCTTTGCGATGGCCTGGGGAGGGAAATTAAGTTGAAGTGGCTTGCCAGGCTCGCGCCGGGGATGACCTTCAGGTCTGCGGCCAACCTGCGCTGCTGTAGACCCGCCACGCTTGGCAGCGATCCATCCGCGTTCCGCCAGAGTTGCTATGAGGCTATGAGGTATTTTGAGGATTTTGAGGTTCGCCACTTGAACTTGCTGTTGCCTTGTGCTTCTGATGCCAGCATGTCGGCGCCATGAGTTTGCAACATCTCTAGGCAGCAGCGTTTGCTGATCAATTGCACTCATGTCATCGTTTTGAGGGATGTTGACGTGCTGGCACAGGCTGTCCTTTCGGCTACAGCCCGCATTCGTGGCCAATGCATTTCCCCGCCATCCAACATTCTTCCACCACTTCACAAGTTTGACCTAAATCCTTCCTCTCCAGAGGACCTGAGCAACGCTGCGGAGCAACGGCCAGCGAATTCAAGTCATCGTATGTTCCACAAGCAGCCCTTGTAAACTTTGACATGTGCTTGGCGATTGACAGCCCTAAGAGCCTTGATTGCACTGCGTTCCTGTCTCCCAACTTTGACAATGTTCAAGAGTGTGTAAGAACATTCAGCTTGCCATCAGACGCACCCTTTTGCCTCATGTGTTGCCTAGGCCTTTTTCCTTTCTGATGGCTCAAGGCAGCAGCCCCGAAAAGGGAACATGCTGCGTTTGCCTTCCTTGTGCCAGGTGCCCCGGGCTGCACCTTGGCGTGCATTCGGCTCGGGCGGCCGGGCCAGATTTATGTGGACTAGGGAAAGTGACGCTTTTGATTATTATTTCTTTCTGAGCATGCGCATGTTGACTGCTACGGCGGTCTACAGTTTTGTGCGGTCACCTCTTTCATGAAAGAAAGTCATGACACAGGCATATCAGTGCATCAGCAACATGTCATGAGCAGGTAGTGGATGCTTCTGTAGCGAGTTGGATGAGATTCCACTAGGCTTCCACTTTTCAAAAACAGGCACGGCTCGTTGCAGGGGCTGACTCTCAAGTTGGCCTCGATTAGCCAAGCGAGCTACTTGCGTGCTCAAGGTGCAACAGGGTTCCCCGCACTTGGATTCAATTCACTTTCCAGGATTGCATGTGAAACCATGGAGGCAACGATTGAAGTGCGGCTTTGACTGTGTCAGCAAGAATCAGCAAGTGTTTGACCTCAAGTCTTTCATGCGAATGACCAAGGCTCTGCGCGCGGAGTTGTCCAAGTAGACCCGGTGATCCTGCGTGCCGGCGCGCCAGCACGCTCAGATGAGAGCGCCCATGGAAACGACCATGCTTGAGATTGAGAGACAGCTGTGTGGATGTAGTTCTCAAGACAGCATGATTGCAGTACTATTCTGGCATAGCTTCACGGCAGGTTTGCATAGCCAGATGCAATCAAATAATGCTTTCTTTGTTTGCTATGGCCTATGCCCTCTGCAGCATCCTCCCTGCCAGGCATGCCTGGGTTTATCGTTTCAGGCAAGGGATGCTTCCTTGGTGTCCGGTAGGGCTTCGACCTGGGTGGTTGGGTTGGACGCTCTCCCTTGGACACCCTTCCTTGAATGCCCTTGGATGCCTTTAGACACCGTAGTCACCTTTGCACTGTTGGCAATGGCCATGTATCCAGGACAACCCCCTTGAAGATACAGCCAGATGGGCGATTAAGGGTTGGGCTTGTGTTCAGAGTCGCAGCTCTGTTGAGGCAAGATGCCTTATTTCCGCCGGCGGCAGCTGACTGCTCGGGGTATCAACAAAAAACATTGTGAGGGTTGCAGACGAATTGATACAATTGCTCGAACTGGTAGGCATGATAACACCTATGTTGCGGTATGAAGAGGGCGCTACGGCAGGCTTGGACTGCTGCCCAATGCTAAAGGTTACAGCTTTGAAGATGATGTCGATGACGAGGAGGGAGAGGATCAGGCTCAGGATGAAGATGAAGACGACAACGACGAGGATGGTGACGACGACGACGACGACGACGCTGCTGCTGCTGCTGCTGCTGCTGCTGCTGCTTCTTCGCGGCCCTGAAGCCGAGGTGAAAAGAACTTGGCATGCGCGTTTATAGACATGCCGTGCGGATATCCATTAAACAAAACAGGAATAGGCTTGGCTTCTAATTCCTGCTCAGGACGTGCCTCCTGAACTTTTCTGTAGCGTGGATTCCCAGACGGGCGCTGCAGCATCAGGGCATTGCTTTGATTTGTTTTGATTAGAAGCGATTGGCAGAAGTGTTGCAACCTGCTGAACAATGTTAGGACTGTTCTAATCTGTGACTTGCCAGTTTCAGTTTTTTCTTTAGCCGCGACCCAGCGTGGACAGTAACGTGCTGCACGACGCCGGGGTTCAAGTGGTTGCTTTGCAAGTTTGTAAGAGGCCTTCCGCCCATCCTGGGCTCAACAATGTATTGCTGGGCCTCCATCCCCTAATTCCATCAAGTCGAAGGCATTTCAGCCCTGGCAGGGTCAAGCAAGCTCATCCAGCTTTCATTCGGCGGAAATGTCCCACTGCGAGAAAATGAGTGAGGTTCGCCTCCCTATAGATGTGTTTAGAAAGAAAATAGACAAAGGGGGGTCTCGTCTTGGGTTGGGTCACCTCAGATTGTTGAGAACCTGTTTTGTAGGACTTGTGGTTTCTTGTCCATAAAATGGTTTCGGAAAATGCATGCGTTTTGTGGTGGCTACATGTCTCTTGTTCTCTTTGACGGCCATGTTGAGGGGTTGGGTTTGGATATGTCATGTTGAATCATGTTGTAGAACCGAGGTTTCGTTGCTTTTGCATATGTTCTAGGGATTTGGCTTGATTAAACCTATTTTGGCTTCTCTGTGTTGCATGATGTTTAGAATGGTCTTTACAATCGTTTGCATTGCTTGCATGTGTTTACGGGGCCTTTGCATGCCCCTGAACCCCTTGATGAACTGATGGGGGTCCATGCCAAGTCCGTGCCAAGTACAACATGCCAAGCTGCTCATGTATGCTCATGATTGACGGGTTGCTCATGTTTTGTTGTCGGGTTGCCACTAGAGATGACTGAGGTGCAGAGGGGACATCACAGGGCCGCTTTTGATATTATGCGCCGATAATATGGTATGTATACATATATCATGATTGTTCACATATTTTCCCCACAGAATGGGTGTCCACGCTAAGTGGATCACTCTTAGGATTTAGAGCCAGCGAGCCCACTACAAAATGACCTTTGGATTTCAGAGGGTGTCCCCAGTGACATAGATGCCTTGCTTGAATGACAGCAGACCATTTAAATAAAAGACTTTGTTTTGTCTTTTACCTGCCTCCCAGACCTAAAATTGGAGATCTCTTTTCGGCTGGAACCAATCACGTGTTACCATTTCTGGGTCACCTTGATAGGAAGCAAGGTCTCAAAAAATCTGGAATGCCATTCTCCACTTGCAGAGAACCCCGATTTGAAGGGGAAACACCCACGAGAGAAAGCCAAACATAGCCTCCAAAGTACGTGGACAAGGGGGAACTGGAGAAAACCAACCATCTTTTGGACCCCTCCCTCACTTTTGGGAGGGTAAACCCACCCTTTTGGTCCTGAAGTTTTCGTAAACACCCACAAAACACAACTGTCGAATCTAGTGTTTTCCGCAAAGCAGCCTTGTTTTGTAGAATCCTTGGCCAAACCATTTGTCTTTTTGCTATGAAGTGACTGGTCCAACCATTTGGGTGGAATGCATCTTGTTGCTTTGCAGCAGGTTGGAATTTAGCCGCATTCAACCCGAGGTGCAAACGGACTTTGATGAGGCCGTTGGCAATGACCGAGAGCGCATCGAGCAGCTTGACCCCAAAACAGATGTTGAATCACCGCATTATGAGGACAAATATACAGGTTCTCATGATTCTGTTATCTACAGTGCTTTCAATGAGAAAAGCAAGTGGCAGGATCAACCCTGCATGTGAAATCACACTTGATAGGGTTTTCTGCTGGCGTCCAAAAAAGTATTGCCAGTATGCGGGCATGGGGCAGCTGTGACTACCTGACATACCCGGATCCTCCAAGGTGTGTGTGTGTGTGGTTTGTGCTCTTTCAAGAAAAAAAGTGTTTTTTGGCTGAAAAAGCGCTTGTGCTGGATGCGGGCTTTCCCAGTGATGCATGTTTTTCTTGATTGGGCTTGTGCTGGCAAAGCGCTTTTCCTCGGTCGAAAAGCGCTTTTGCCCGGCCAAAAGGCGCTTTTTCTGACACGCTTCACGGCAATCTTGAAAAAGAGCAGTTGTTGGGTCAACACGCCCTTTTGAACGAAACAGCGGAACTTCTTGCTTTTTCGCCAAACGGCGAAATGTTGCACACCTGCAGGGCCCAGGTATGCCATTCATATACATGATACCTATATGGAAAAGAGGGCCTAACTGCATGATGGGTACATGAAGTGTGTATCTAGTTTTTTTGTATGCCTGATTGTCCGAGTCATCCGCGGACATGGTGCTAACCGCAGAAGAAGGCTGGCACACCCCCCAATTCTTCCCCAGAATTTCCCCATTTTGCTTTTTTGCATTTTCGGGATCCCCTTTGTTTTCCACTTTCCAGGCAAACAACATATTTTTTGCTAGGGTCCTAATTCCAGCCTAGAATTGTGGTAAGGGCCTATTCTGTCATTTTGTCAACAGCACCCCAGCTCGCTTCTCCGTACATGCACACTCGGATTTGCATGCATGCTGCTGAGTTCTGATCTACATACACAGGCCTTCTTTCAGAGCCTTTGGAACTGGTCAAAGGTTCATTGACATCGAGGGCCTGGGCAACGTTTCAACGCACGTCAAGCCTGGCAGGACACGGGTGCTGGCAAGGTGTGGAATCATGCAACGAGTTGATTGTGCATTGTGTATCATGTTACTCCTGCATCACTTGAAGACTCTGTTACGTGGTGTCTTCATTTCTCTGTCTCGCTGAAAGTTAGGCTAGAAGTTCATCATCGAATGTGTTTGATACAATATTGTAAATTGTACGTGTTACAAGGACGGACAGCACAGCTTTGACCGGGTCTCTACACAGACTCTTCATGAAGTCTTAATCGCGGTTTGATTTACCGTGAAGACAAGCGTGAAGGTTGAAGTATTTGGTTGTTTGCTCCCTTACTGTACGTTGTTTGTTATTATTATTCTTTCTTCTGAACATTAAGAGTAGAGCTTTGTTTGCTCAGATGAAGGACTTTAGCTTCGGGCGGAATTCCCTGAAGGTCCGCGAAGGCACTTGTGTGATACATTGTGTGACGCGACGCCCCGCGAAGCCTCTTGCGTAGCTATAGTCTAATAGTGTTTTATGGGCTTTCACGGTAGAAATAAAGGTTGATGTGCAGAGTCATTTGTGACATTGCGGCAAACCAATGCCTGCGTATCTTCTTCACTACCTTTTGCTGTAAGGCAGAGCTTCGATCTCAAGTTGTTGCACACGCACGGCAGCGCCAGGAATCCGTGCACTGAAGAGTCGGCAGCCTCAGTTCTGGGGCCTGAATGATGCCTTGGTCCTGTGTTGCCATACATGAAAAGGAGCTTTGCCCAAGATGGGACTCTTTATTCCAGTGAGAAAAGGATGGCATCCTTTACAAACAAGGATACTGACATTTGGATCTCCAGGACAGCAGAACAACTTGTGGCGCACTTGTGGCTATCATGTCAGCGTTCGTTTGTTGGCAAGCTGCTGCGTAGTCTTCAGCGATGCCAGAGATGAGACAGGCATTTGGACGGTCGCGTGTTGAAATACATAGAGGCATATTATGCGACCCTTGGTTGCTGACAAGACTGTGTTTGCATTGTACTCCAACATTCGGCGTGCTCTTCAACGGGTGTGCCTCCTGTGTGAAGCTGTTTCATGGAAGATTCTTACGCGAGTATGTGTAACATAAATATCTTATAACCTCTTGTTTCGTCTGCTTCGGCGGACAGTCTCTCAATTGCTACTTGGACTTCCTCCTCAAGCGGCTAGATGGTTCTTACCGATTGCAAACAGAATCCTAGCAAGCTCATGAGCTTGTTTCACCATAGCTCATGCAGGGCAACACTATGCGTGCTTGCTTGTGGCGTGCACGCATGCGTGGGCGGGCAGACGGGTGGGCAGGCGGGCAAGCGGGCGGGCGGGTGGGTGGGTGGGTTGGCTTTAACTTACAGTAAGATATAGAAGCTTGAAGTCTATTTGAGATTTTAGCCAGGCGGTTATATGTTAACGCCTCCGGCTCAGGCCGCCGACATTACAGGCCTGCTTTCTTATTTGCGTTCCTTTGGAATTGTCCCCTTGCCCCCCTTCCCCTCAAAGATTTTTGCCCCCCTTTCCCTGTTGAGATCCATTCCCCCTTTCCCCCCTAAGGCCCTTTCTCCTTCTGATATTTTTTCCCTTTTCCTCCCTAAGATGTTTTCCGCACTCTCCCTGTTGAGATCCTTTCCCCCCTTTCCCCCCTAAGGCCTTTGTCCCCCCTGAGATCATCTCCCTTTTCCTCCCTTTCCCCCACTTTCCCCCCTAAGGCCTTTCCCCCCCCTGAGATCTTTTCCGTTTCCTCCCTGAGATCTTTCCCCCCTTCCCTGTTGAGATCCTGTCCCCCCTTTCCCCCCTAAGGCCTTTCCCCCCGCTGAGATCTTCTCCCTATTCCTCCCTAAGATCCTTTGCCCCCTTTCCCTGTTAAGATCCCTTCCCCCCCTACCCCGAAGGCCTTTCCAGATCTTCTCCCTTTTCCTTCCTAAGCTTGTTTCCCCCCTTTCCCTGTTGAGATCCTTCCCACTCTTTCCCCCTAAGGCCTTTCCCTTGCTGAGACCTTCTCCCTGTTCCTTCCTAAGATCTTTCCCCCCTTTCCCTGTTGGCCTTTTTTTCCCCAGATCTTCTCCCTTTCCTCCCTAAGATCTTTTCCACCCCTTTCCCTGTTGAGATCATTTCTCCCCTTTCCCCCCTAAGGCCTTTGCCCCCAGATCTTCTCCCTTTCCTCCCTAAGATCTTTCCCCCCCTTTCCCTGCTGAGATCCTTTCCCCCCTTTCCCCCCTAAAGCCTTTCCTCCCCTGAGATCTTCTCCCTTTTCCTCCCTAAGATCTTTTGCCACCTTTCCCTGTTGAGATCCATTCCCCCTTTCCCTCCTAAGGCCCTTTCTCCCTCTGAGTTTGCTTTTCCCCCCTAAGATCCCTCTCCCTGTTGAGATCCTTTCCCCCCTGTCCCCCCTAAGGCCTTTTTCGCCCCTGAGATCATCTCCCTTTTCCTCTCTTTTCCACCCTTTCCTCCTTAAGGCCTTTCCCCCCCCCCCCCCGGAGATCTTTTCCCTTTCCTCCCTGAGACCTTTCCCCCCCTTCCCCTGTTGACAAGGCCTTTCCCCCCGCTGAGATCTTCTCCCTATTCCTCCCTAAGATCCTTTGCCCCCTTTCCCTGTTGAGATCCTTTCCCCCCCTATCCGCAGGCGTTTCCAGATCTTCTCCCTTTTCCTTCCTAAGATTGTTTCCCCCCTTTCCCTGTTGAGATCTTTCCCCCCTAAGGCCGTTCCCCCCCTGAGCCTTTTCCTTCTTAAGATCTTTCCCCCCCTTTCCTGTTGGCCTTTTTTCCCCCCTTCTCCCTTTCCTCCCTAAGATCTCTTCCACCCCTTTCCCTGTAGAGATCATTTCTCCCCTTTCCCCCCTAAGGCCTTTGCCCCCAGATCTTCTCCCTTTCCTCCCTAAGATCTTTCCCCCCCTTTCCCTGCTGAGATCCTTTCCCCCCTTCCCCCCCTACGGCCTTTCCCCCCCTGAGATCTTCTCCCTTTTCCTCCCTAAGATCTTTTGCCACCTTTCCCTGTTGAGATCCTTTTCCCCCTTTCCCCCCTAAGGCCTTTTTTTCTCCGCGATCTTCCTATTCCTCCCTAAGATCCTTTGCCCCCTTTCCTTGTCGAGATCAGTTCCCCCCCTTTCCCCCCCTAAGGCCTTTTCCCCCCCAAGATCTTCTCCCTTTTCCTCCCTAAGATGTTTCCCCCCTTTCCCTGTTGAGATCCTTTCCCCCCTGTCCCCTCTAAGGCCTTTCCCCCCCTGAGATCTTCTCCCTTTTTCTCCCCAAGATCTTTTCCCTCGGTTGAGATCCTTTACCCCTTTCCCCCCGAGATCTTCTCCCTTTTCCTCCCTAGGATCTTTTCTCCCTGTCCCTGTTGAGATCCTTTCTCCCCCTTTCCCCCCTAAGGCCTTTTCAGATCTTCTCCCTTTTTTTTCTAAGATCTTTTGCCCCCTTTCCCTGTTGAGATCCTTTCCCCCTTTCCCCCCTAAGGCCTTTCCCCCCCTGAGATCTTAAGGCCTTTTCCCCCCCTGAGACCTTCTCGCTTTTCGATCCTTTCCCCCTTTCCCCCCTAAGGCCTTTTTTCCCCCCTGAGATCATCTCCCTTTTCCTCCCTAAGATGTTTTCCCCCCTTTCCCTGTTGAGATCCCTTCCCCCCTTTCCCCCCTAAGGCCTTTTCCCCCCTGAGATCTTCTCCCTTTTCCTCCGTAAGATCTTTTTCCACCTTTCTTTATTGAGATCCTTTCCCCCCTGTCCCC